GCTTCCTGGTGCCTGGGCACCATTGTTGAAATTGAGTATATGCCCAATTCAAATGAGTATGAAATTTTTTTAAATATTAGGAATTAACATTAACTACTTTACTAACTAATTCAAAGCAAGTTTGAATTAAATTTGAACTTGTTTTTGTTAGATTTTAATTCTAGATATATAGCATCCAAACATATAATGAGTTAGGTATGCAATCATGGATTGTGAAATAAAGTTAAATTTGAGTTGTTTTGTTGATAGGTATAGGTATGAATCAAATTCTTATAACTAGATATATACTCACAACTTAAAAATTTTAAAAAATTTGAGTGAATTTGTGTATTTGATACCATGGTGCCCGAGTACAATGGTTATATATATATATATATATATGTGTGTATATGTATACGTATGTATGTGTATATATATATATATATGTATGTATATATATGTATATGTATATATATATATGTATATATATGTATGTATATATGTATATATATATATAGGAGCTGGATAATATGAACCAAGGTTCACATGCACCTCAATCCCCTGGTCGACACGTGTGCATATGACTCCAATGCAGTTGTGATCCATCATGTTTGCTAACCACCATCAAAATGTACCAATCTGATGGAGTTGCTATATAGAGCTGTGCATTGGTGGGTTCAATAGGTACATGTTGTGTACGTTTTCTACTGTAGCTTTCCCAAGATGCCCTCCAACTAGTACTCCCCTCTCTCCATGTGAAAAATTATGCATGTATGTGCATTACAATTTTTAATAAATTCTCTTGATCAACTAGTTAATTTGTTGGCTCCGAATGTCAATTAGAGAAATATTATTTGTAAACCTACTTCATTGACATATGTCTTTTGCAGATGACATATACTTTACCGATATATTTGTTGTGAATATCAGTTAAAGGTTGAGTCGCTAACAAAGGTTCGTTAACATAGATATCGGTTACACATATCATTTAACAATATATCATTAGCAAATTTCGTTTACAGGTACATCATTAATTTGCTAGTATCATTTGAAGATTCATCAAGCTCTCAAATGTTATTTAAATATATGTTGTCTGTAGATGTAGTGCCATTTTTGCAAGTTATATTTTTTTCGTCAACATGCCCTTTGTGAATGGAGATAGTTCCATTAATTCAAATGTCAAAATGGAGATATAGTAGATGCACCATTTTGTAAATGTCATTTTGATGATGGATAATCATTTATAAATGTCCTCTTGGAGGATTGAGGTTTTTTTTTTTTTGCAAGTGTCAGTATGGATATATATAGGTATTAAGATATGATTTGTGAACGTCATTTTATACCGATAAAATGAGAATAAATAATTTTTCTAAACAATGGATATGTAACATGATTCTATTGTATAATGACACAATATATTTCATATTCAGTTGTTCTTCTTATGGGAAGATAATTGGCTATTTCATATTTCGCTCTTTTCTACAGTGTTATCTAAACTTGATTGGTGGCTTAATTGTTTTGGAATATCGTTGTTTGTAGCTCATTTGGAGATATATCAATGTATGACAAGTTCTTTTAACAAAAATCGTTGTACTAGGGGAAGGTCTAAACATACATATAGTTATATAGGGGCACAAAATTTGGCATCCTTAATTTATATGCATTAGAAAAAAAATGGAATGGAACCATGTCAAGGGCAAACTTGGAAGGCTAAAAAGTGGTGGCAGGAAACACAGTACCATTGTGTACTATTCATGTCCCTTCCTTCCTTTAATAAGTATGATTTGAGAGGAGAAAGAGACATTTGCTAGCACACATCGTAGAGCATTCAAACGGTACAGATTGGAGGTGCAAATGAACCTAGGTTCGTATCTTCTTTTCCCTGTATATATATATATAGAGAGAGTGAAGTAAATTTGTTTGATGCTCCATGGTGCCCATGCTCCAATGATATCCACCATTCAGCTGCTTTAGGATATGTGCACTCAAAACACAACGTTTGAATCTGTAAGCGGGTTTAACCCGATAAAAGATATTCAATAGCTGGTTTGTGCCTTTTTCCATTTATTTATCCCTGCATGATTTGCATGTATCCATTTCCATATAATTTTGTATGCATGTACTTTCCAAAAGAGTGTGAACGTGATTGAGTTTCCAATTTTGTGATCGTACAAAAATTAAGCCCCCTAATTTCGCCCCCTAATTTCGGTGTGATTGGCATATTTCTATCCATACCGATTTATACTTTCCATTTTCAAAGTATATATATATATATATATATGCCCAACAATGGTATTTTGTTTTTATGTACTTGAGTTTCGTCCACACTGCTACGTCGCCGGATGTCCACAAGTTTCTTCGTGGCTGCCACTAGTTGTCCTCGAGCTTCGTCAGCCAGTCCTCAGCAAGACTGCAACCTTCGTCGCCACACCGTTATGCCGGCGGACGTCCTCGAGCTTCTTCGTCGACGCTGCTGACGGTGTTCGTCCGCGAGCTTCTTCGCCACCGCCACTGGTCGTCCACGAGCTTCGTCACCGATCGATGGCGGTCGTTCGCGAGATTTTTTGTCGCAGGCAGTCCTCCACAATCTTCGTCACCAGGCCGTTACGTGGCTGGTCGTCTGCGAGCTTCGTCGCTGCCACGCTACTACATCCAACCGTATGCGTGTCGTCGCCACGGGATCATAATTAAGTAGAAGATAGTTGTGTGCAGAAAAAGAAACATGTGCATGCATGCTTACGCTAGGAGCAGATTGGATGTTCAAATTACTGTGTTTGAGATATAGGATTAGATTTTTGAACTGATGTTCATGGTGTATTAACATGAATCTGTGGTTTCAGAATGTGTGTAAACGTGTTTTACACCACAATAAACAAAGAAGATACAATGCTTATTCCGTATGTTTTTTCTGGTCTTCTACTTCAGTCAATTTTGTATGGTTCCATGGTTTTATACACCACAAAAAAATTTAGTGGAAGATTTTAAGTTCCATCGGGTGATATAACCAAAGGATATTCAAACTAGGAAAAGCACTAATTTTACATGTGTAAGATGCTATATAGATACATGTCAATACATTAACTACACCGGGCATAGAATTATTATGAATCTGGACACATAAAAAAATTTCATGGTGCAGCATATAAGTAGGTATATTTTCCACGTAACTATCCGAATTAGGTATATACCCAATTTAAAGCAGGTAAAAAGATCAAACTTTTTAGGTATATGAAAAATTAACTTGTTATTCCCTCGGTCCCTCCGTTCGGAACGGAGGGAGTAACTAACTAGTTCAGAATAGTTTGAACTGACTTTGAACATATATGCATGTGTTTTCTTTGTTCACCTTTTATTCTACTAGATATGTGCAATAAAAACATATAATTAGAAAATCATGAGGAATGAGATAGTTAGATTTCTTTAAATTTCAAATTAACAAAGTCACCACAGGCGTATTAGTGTCAACTTTCACATCGCCTACCACTAAAAAATAATTTCCTATAAATACGAGGATCCATGTTATGTCTTATTCCACTAGAAGAAATCTAACCAGTTGAGTTATACTCACATCGCAAGCTATATAACTAATATAAATGAGTATAAAAAGTTTAATTGGTTATATATACCCAATTTAAATGAGTATGAAAAATAAACAAGTATAAAAAAATAAACGGCTATATATATAGATATATATACCCAACTTAATTAAATGGGATGTTATACCTAATATAAATGAGTATAAAAAATTAATTGGTTATATATTCCCAATTTAAATTAGTATGAAAAATCAACTTGGTATATACCCGATCACATTGAGTATATAAAATCAGGTATATACACAATTTAAGCAAGCATGAAAAAATTAAACGGCTATATACCTAGCTTAAATGTTATCGAAAATTCATGTATATACACAACTTAATTTGGGTATATACCTGAGTATGCTAATATATGTTAAATTTTATTAGGTATATTATACCTAAATATACTATACTCAACATGCGTCTTTAAACGATCTGTAAATAGCCAAAAGAAATCACATGATGAGTATATATAAAATCAGATATATACACAATTTAAACGACTATGAAAAATTAATCAGCTATATACCCAACTTAACCGTTATCGAAAACTTGGGTATATACACAATTTAATTTGGGTGTATACCGGCGGGTATGCTAATATTTGTTTAATTTTGTTATGTATATTATACCTGAATATACTATACTAAACATGCGTCTATAAATAATCGGTAAATACCCAAAAAACCTGATGATGGATATATACTCAACATGTGTCTTTAAATGGGCTATATAGTGTGCGTCACTATGCTATACTAGTAATTGTGCACGTGCAAGGCACGTTTTGACAATGTATGTACGTAGGTACTTCCTCCGTTTAACAATGTAAGTCATTCTAGCATTTTCCACATTTATATTAATGTTAATGAATCTAGACATACATCAATATGAATGTAGGAAATGCTAAAATGACTTGCATTGTGAAACGGAGGGAGTGGAGGGAGTAGAACAATAGTGACTTTTTTTAAGGCAGTGCGGACCATAAAAATTGTTGAGGTAAAAATAAAGTTTCATACATCATAGTAAAAACTCTATTTGGATTATTTCTATAAAATCCTTTTTGGTGAATATATCCATAACGTACAAGGTAGCCCGGCATGATTTATACATTGCAATGTTGCTACTCCCTCCGTTTCATATTATAAGATGTTTAATTTTTTTTTCAGTCAAACTTTATTAAGTTTGACCAAGTTTATAGAAAAATTTAACATCTAAAATATAAAATTAGTATAATTAAATATAACATTGAATATATTTTCATAATATGTTTGTTTTCTGTTGAAAATAATAATATATTTTTCTATAAATTTGATCAAACTTAAAAGAAGTTTTATTAAGAAAAAAAAATCAAACATCTAATATGAAGCGGAGAGAGTACTTCCTAAGCAAACAGTTATGATTCAAGTATAAATCATTACCAGCTGGAAGTGAAATTGTAAGTAAAGAGAATAACAAATGATCTTATATCAGTAAGCGCATGCACAAATAAATCAACAGTAAGTACCAGCACTTCAGGAACTGAATTTTACATAATTTCACAAGCTGACTAAAGTTATATATAAATAAAACCGGTTAAAAAAGCATACATCCAGTTGGTCAGCAAAAAATACATCCAATTTATCCTGAAGGCAAGCAAATTACATCCAACTCTCACCAGAATTATGGCATACACTCAGCACCACCATGCCATCGAGATCTGTATCTTAGACCAAATTTTAATCCTGCACAAATGGTTAAATGGACTTCCTTATTAAGGAAAATTCAGGCTGTACTTAAACATATATCTATTTCAATGTGAGCGCATTGCTCAGCTTCTATTTCAATGTCAGAGTATTGGTACCTGTGGCAGTTGTAGAAGTCTCCTTTTTCCACTGCTTGAAATCTTCTATGAATTGTCCATTGCATTGATTCAGTCCAAACTTCTCCAAACCTAACAACACCTAGTGATTCAGACTGAAAAAGCAAACCAGTAATATTTTTGTTGCTATACTGAGGAAGTGAGAAAATACAAATACATTCATTTGATCAAGTGTCTGGAGCATTTTGTCAAACACATGACCGGCATGGGCAAAGTTTTCTATTCAGAATTGTAACAAACATGGCAGACTTCTTTTACCATTTTAGTACTTCATTGGCGCTCTGACCTTGCCATGCATCATTGATCTGCAATTCTACACACCAGAGAAATTAGTGAGGGAGCAAGAGATGCATGGGCACAGGACTAATCAAGCCACAAAACAAACGGAAACATTTGACTCCAGTTCTGCACAAAAGTAGATACAGAACCCAAAAGAAAGCATATCATTACTTCTCAAGGTCGTCATATATACCAAATCAAAAATTTTCTCACAAATACAGAGATAGATCAGTGATTTACCTAAAACGCGGAGGAATTGAACTATGTGGTTTGGAGTAGACTGTAGACCTAGGCAATATGCCTATGTGAGTGTGAGTGTGAGTGGGAGCACAATCCTAACACCACATCTACCAAGAAGACTGCCATAACCAGATTCATGGAAGTTAGGTCATAAATCAGACCCTAAGCAAAGAAAATGCTTGCGATGATTGAGAAAAAGACGGTAAAAAGTAATGGATTCTACCTGCAGGAGATTACCAACTACCATCCTGAATTCCCTATCCATCCTGAAAGGGTTTAATTTATTGAAAGGGTCTAAATAAATTAAAGGAACAACAAAAGAAAACATATATAGGCTAAAAAGTTGTGTATGTTGGTAGCATAGTAATGGAGGTGTTACAGACCTAGGAACGACAGTGACCGCGAGCAACATCAACAACCTGATTAACATCTAAGGCTCAATTGGTTTTAATAGCTGCCTCTTCAATTCAGAGAACACTATTGCAGCCAATTTTTAATCAAAATTTGTGCTATCTAGAAATGAGAAGGTAAATACACCAAATCGAATATGATTAAAATTTTGACAAATAAGAAACCTAATCAACATTTTTAATTACTGGAATTCCAACTTACACAAGATGAAAGAGTTAACAAAGAGCAAAGTTCAATGGTTCAATTTAAGTACAGGAGAAAATAGACAAAAGAAGATCAATTAGCCAAGGTAGTAACTAATTACCTGACCAACTTGAATATTTTGAATGGGGATTGGACGCTGACCAACACAAAGTTGAGGTCGTCCATGCCGGAGGTCAGCGCCAGGCTTGGCATGGCTGGGGATGCAGGAGTGCACGCCGGGAAAGGAGATGATGGTGACGAACTACTGCCAACATCAAATGCCCCTTGTCCTTCCAGGGCAGTAGCCAACAGAAAGTCAGATACAGATCGAGTGTTGGCGATAGATGGAGCAAGTCTGGTTGGGGATTACGGTTGGAGGAGTTGGTGGGCTTTGAACAGAGGCGGAACGGCGTGCTCCACACCGAGGCCAGCTTCGAACGCCAGCGACCAAGGGCTGCAGATCGAGCTCGGCGATGGAAGGCCCTGGATTGACGCCGACTGCATGCGGCAGTCTCGGATGGGGCTCTGGTGGAAGGGGGAACCACCACGACGCCTGCAGGGGCATGATGCGGTGGCGTGCGGCGGGGAGTCGCGAGGAGGCGCACCAGCGAGTGAGGTGGTCCGGCAGTGGATTGCGGCGGGAATTCGTACGGCTGAGAGGAGGGAGGATGCGCACAGATCGAGGAGGAGCGAGGAGGGGGCGGTTGGTCCGGCGGTGGACTGTGTCGGCGGCGGGGAATCAGGCGGAGAAGGTGAGGCGGCGGGGATTCCTCGTGCTGCTGAGAGAGGGAGGATGCACATAGAGAGAGGAGGAGGTGGCTGGTCCAACGGCGGCAGCGGGGAATCGGACGGAGCGAGTGATCGAGGCGGCGGGGATTCGCGCGGCTGAGATGAGAAGAGGAGGGAGGATGTGAAGAGGAGCGAGGATGGGACGGCGATTGGAGCGGCGGAGTCGCGCGCTCGGGGGCGGAGTCAGCGCGCGCCGGGGCGGAGTAATCGGTGGGTTGGCACAGCGATGATGATGAGATGAGACGACGGATCAGATTAGATGAGATGTCGGATGGACGGTGGGATTAAGTAAGTTGATTTCACCCGTAGGATTGCAAGAAGGCAACTCCTTTTTATATTAGTATAGATATAGATATATATGTCTATGCCCAGTATAACGCTATAGAGAGGGTCCCACATACCTTACGTGCATATATAACCAAAGAAATGATGTATGGTAAAGAATTTTAATAAATATTTTTTTTTTCAAAAAACACACGTACATAGGTACATGATTACTTGAATATCTGTCAGTCAAAATTAATTTCTGCGACATACCATACTACTGATTACTTGGTTCCCAAATTTCCAAATAATTACTTTTCCATATTTCCAATTATTTAATACTTTCTTTCCATATTTTCAAAAACTTAGATTCTAAATTTGAGATGTATATTACCATATACCCAGTCGCGGCATTATTACCAAATAGTCTGTGCATCCATGCTTTCCGTTGTGACATAAATATATAGAAATTAACTGCCACCCAAACAGCATGCATGGACAAATAGTAAATGCGCACAATTTCTGTTCGTTACTCAGGGAGCTTGCATGCAACTTTGTTTACTTTCCAAACCACGTACTCTTAATGGGTGTACCCGTTAATCAACTACACAAACAACGATCCTTTCGAACAGCACCTCATCCGACGGCAAATAGCAATGGTACCCATATGGGCGTCCTAGAATAACTATTCTACACCCCCTCCCATGGGTCAAACCCACTTCCCCCACCCCCCCAGGGCCCAAAACCCCCCCACCTCGGTCAATGCGTCCTCCCGCCGGTCAAACCCGCCCACCACTTTGCTGCTCTCGTCTTGCAGGAATCGTGCAGTAACAGGACGGTGATCGTGCAGTAACAAGACAACATTATCGTGGTAACAACGTCAAAAAGTAGCCATGATGGATCTAGTTTCGTTAAGCGTTTTTTTATGAACATCATAGTGCAAACGGATTGGAAATACAAGATATGATGTGAGAGATATTGCTCTCTAAAGATTGAGATTTACCTCTTTTTTAGTCCTCGTATCACTGGAACAGCGTAGTAACATGATGGCCAATATGCAGTAACATGTCTGCTTTTCGCAGTAACAACGTTAAAAAATAGTTATGATGGTTCTAGTTTTGTTAAGCACTTTTATTTTTACGAACGCCATAATGCAAATGGATTAGAAAAATAAGACATGACGTGTACGTTAGTACTCTCTAAAGATTGGGATTTAAAATACTCTAGATCTAAAAAAACATTACTTCTATAGGGCCACTGTTACTATGCATGTTCTCTGTTACTGCCAATTTTGTCATATTGTTACTGCCAAAAGTGCAGTAACAACCTATAAAGTTTACAGTAACAACCTATACATTTTTGCAGTAACATATGATGTTACTACCCTTCTGAGATAATGTTACTACCGAATCATAGTAACAAGGTATGATTGTTACAGATACCTAACTGATTTGTTCTCACACAATTTAAACAGACATATAAAACATGCAAATAATGTTTTCTATTCATATAACATCATGCAGTGAATTGGTTAAGAGAGCTTGCCATGAACTATGAGATCATGAGTTCAAGTCTTGGTTTCACCAATTTATTTTTAATTTTTCTAAAAAAGAAAGAATAGGAGGAAAAATGAGAGATGGATGGGAGAGAGAGAAAAGGGTCGGCAGAGAGAAGGGGCAGAGAGGGATCGGAGGGAGGGAAGAGAGAAGGGGCAGAGAGGGATCGGAGGCAATACGGGAGGGGAGGGAGGGAAGAGAGAAGGGAGAGGAGGGCGCGCGAGGGGGGAGGGGGATCGGAGGGAGAGGAGGGTGCGCCCGGGAGGGAGGGAGGGATGGGCTGGGCCTGAGAGGTGGGAGGGGGTGTAGAATAGTTATTCTAAGGGAGAGGTGTATAATAGAGCTACTATATATATATATGTATATATGACACTCATATGGGGCATATATATATATATAGTAAATTTGTTTGGTGCTCCATGGTGCCCTGGCACCATTGTTGAAATTGAGTATATACCCAATTCAAATGAGTATGAAACTTTTTCAATTACTTAGGTATTAACATTAACTCTTTACTAACTAGTTCAAAGCAAGTTTGAACTGAACTTGAACTTGTTTTTGTTAGATTTTGATTCTAGGTATATAGCATCCATACATATAATTAGTTAGGTATGTAATCATGGATTGTGAAATAAAGTTAAATTTGAGTTGTTTTGTTGATAGGTATAGGTATGAATCGAATTATTATAACTAGGTATATACTCACAATTTGAAAATTTTAAAAAAATTGAGTGATTTTGTGCATTAGATACCATGGTGCCCCATATGAGTGTCATATATATATATATATATATATATATATATATTCTTAAAATTTTAATTTAATACTAAGAAATATAATTGGCTTGTATATGCATAATTCATAATGCCATGGTGTAGGATAGAGAAAAGTCATTAACATTTCAAGATATATATTATAAGATTTTCTCCGGTTGATTCAACTTAGTACCTATTAACTTTTTCTAAGAGCGTTATACTTTTTTGTCATAATTTTTTTATAAAAAATCAATCACCCTTTGTATTAGCAAGTAAGACCGATATAGATTATCATTGTTTATTAACGAATGGATTCGGTAGCAAATGAGACTACGCTAAATGCATGGATTTGTAGGGTCCAATGTGATTGCATACTGTGAGAGACAAATTATCGACGTTTGATGTCGCGATTCCGGTTTTTGCATAGACTATGGGGATCGTTGATACTAGGATATATGCGAGATTATAGTAAAGAGATGAAGACGCGGATTTTTATACAGGTTCGGGCCCTTGAATTGTCAGGTAATAACCCTACATCCTGTTGGCCGAAGCTGGTCGTTGCTCTTATTCATCATAATCACACCAGTACAGTATTTGGGGTAGCCTATCTAACTGTTGTCGACATGGCGATCTGAAGGTCTGACTCGTAGTCGACAACAGGGTAGTCTTCCTCCTCGAATCCGCATCCAGCGAGATCAGAGACAGCGCTATATCTCTCCTGATAGCTAGTATCCGTAGGCACCTAGGGGACTAGCCATGCCTATCTCTGAAGTCGATATCCGACGTTTTGTCTTGGCATATGTTGGCTTGTATGTTGATCTTGTGTCTTGATCTATTGTTCCGTGTATGTTGATTGTGTCCCCTCTCCTCCTAGGGGGCCTTGTATTTATACCCATAGGTGTCACTTTGTTCAAGTAGAACTAGGGAAACCAACATGGATACAATCCGAGTAGTCCTTGTCGTTTCCATGTAGAACTCTAGTCATCCTTCCTTATGCGGAGCTCCTCCTATATCCGAAGGTTGTTTCCGTATAAGACATGGTATGTGGTGGGTCTTGCCGAAATTTAGTCAACTATTATTAGGTATATGGTATCCATAACCCTGACACAAATCATCTGTAAACATTTCATCTCATGTGTGCGATGACACCATCTGTAAACATTTCATGTCATGTGTGCGAGCTTCATGCAACCTAGTGCGACTGTGCGAATACTACCAGAGGCTAGATATATAGTTATATTGCGCAGGCAACATTATTTTTAGAATGAGATGTATTATGAATACACGCATGAAAACTACCGATGACATATTAAAAGTGCATCAAACACTGATTAGATGGTAACATAATATAGTTTAGACCATTTACACGGATGATCATTTGGCTAGCACGGATTATTTGAGCACATTTGTTTTTTTTAAAAAATAATAAAGTAATTGGATTGTTTTCTCTAACTAAAGCCACCGAATATTTTGTGTAGTGGCTTAGACTCTTCTTTTTTAAATTTGTTTATGCATGTTTGCAAAACAATGTATGATGGTGCAATCTGTGTTGTTGAATTACTTTATAATATTTTATGGTAATTTGGATGAGATGTAAAAGGCCAACGGTCTGTATCCCTACGATTTTTTTATGCGGTAGCTTGGACTATTTATATTTGAGCTATTTTTTCTTAGGTATTGTATATCTAATTTAGTTTTGCATGTTTGCAAAACAATATGTGATGGTGCAACCTATGTTGTTAAATTAATTCATTTGGATGGCATGTAAAAGGGTAGTGGTATTTTCCAATAAAAATATTGTTTTCTATTAATGTATAATGGCATAATAAATGTTGACATTTTTTATAGCATTTTATTCCTATTTGGATGACATGCAATGGTAAAGAGTCAACTCCAAATGCCATATTTCTTATATAGCAAAATAGAGGTGTATGGATCTTATATTGTTGGCTTGATTATAAATAGAGCAACAATTTGATCAGAAATTACAGGTGTATTAGTAATTATTTTCTTTTAGTTTCATAGCTATAAAAAATAGGGAGGGGGAGATGAATTAAAAACACAGAGCTTGAGCCATAGAGGGGAGGAGGAGGGTAGGCGGCCATGTAGTGTTGTGCGCATGTGAGGGAGATGTGGAGGGGTCTTAATTTTCTATATTACGTAAATGACTTAAGAGAAAGCTAATAAGCATATGATTTTTCTCTCATATTTCTAACATTTTTTCTAACTTTTAAGACATGACATGTTGTGCCTCAAGATTTTTTTAAAATTAGATTTTATGGTTAAAAATAATAATTATCAATTTAAATGAAAACCGATGGTCACATATTTTATTTTTTTTCTTTGAATCTTAGAAGATTCAAATGTGTCATGTGGTCGACTTAACAACGCTTTAGAGGACGTTTAACGGGTAATGTTTAAAGATAACTTAATGCATATAATCATTTTTTGAAAGTCTTATTGTTGTTTGGTTTCCGGTCTATGTTCAAATGAAGTATTTTAATTTCTATATAATAAAATATGAGTAATGTAGATCTTGACTTACTTATTTAATTATAAAGAAAATAATAATTATAAATGAAATAATAGTTCAAATAAGTGTAATATAATCTTTAATTTATTTAGCAATCTAATTATAAAACGACAGGCATAACAATCTGACAATCGGACACAACTTTATA